AGTTTTTTGTATTTTTTAGTAGAGACGGGGTTTCACCGTGTTAGCCAGGATGGTCTCGATCTCCTGACCTCGTGATCCACCTGTCTTGGCCTCCCAAAGTGCTGGGATTACAGGCTTGAGCCACCGCGCCCTGCCGCCTTTGAGCTTTTTCAACACCCTGTCTTCCAAAGAAGAACAACAAGACTTCTTGGCATAGGTCTTTTCCAAGAATCTTTCCAAAGCAAACGGGTCCAAGAATGTAAGGCAGGAGAGCAATCTGCTAAAAAGTACTCCATACCTGCTTGTACCGCCTCTTCTGGGTATACTGTAGCCACAATTTGATACACTTGCACAGCAGTGCTATCCTGAAACAAAAGGAAGAACATCGCGTTTTTAAAACTTTGTTTTAAGGCAGGTAAATCAGGGTACAGTTACTTCCTGTGAGTTAAAGGCACCCCATGGGCTTATTAGTTTGATTCTAGGAGAGAGGGCAGTAAGAACCTGGTATCTAATGTAAAATCTGTCAACCTCTGATTCTGGACTGTAGATTGCCTAAAATGTTGACAACTTTCTTGTAAAACCTAATTAGACCACCAAAAGCACAGTAGCTCTGGAGTTTAGGAAATATGTATGAAGTCCCCTAGATAGCCTGAACTTCCTGGTTTCATGGCCGAAGCCTGGGGGTCCATGACATGTTGCCACTCACACTAGGTTTTGTAAACCAGGGTTTGGAATAATATGTCTTGAGAACTCTAAATGAGTCAGTTAATTATTGGAATTCTCACTAACTCATTAAAAAATGCTTCAAAATTGGACCTAAACTATGCAAAATAAGTTGATTATACTGTGCAGGGAGGGAAAGGGGAGAGCAAAAAAAGGGAGGACATGTTCAACATTTCTGGCAGCAAAAGAGTTCGTACTTCCCTGCTCTGTGGAGTAAGATCTTACTCTTCCTTGTAGGGATGGGACCAGGCAACTTTTATTTTTCCCTTTATACTTTCCACCCTATACATTCTGAGTTTTCCTCACAGAAATGTAGTGTTCTTATTTATTTTAACTGAACGACTAGCTCTAAAATATTCACAACATTCCCTGCACACTTTAAGACCGAGTCACAAATGTCCCTGACCCTTCTCTTTAACACTAGTAATGCATGAATTCTAACTTGGGAACATATTGATGCCTGTAGGACCAAGGCAGTGAGCGACCAGGCACATACTCCCAACTATGGTGGCCAAGAACTGATGCACATATGCTTATTCTATCTCCCATCTGATCAGCCAAAATCCCAAATTCAGGAACAAACGGTTTATAGCAGGACCTCCACCCCAGCAGGCCTTTCTGAATCTGCCACACTAACGCATAGAAGGGCAAGCGATTACCCCGGGAAAACAGTAAGTCAGAGGCACAAAGTCCTTGAGAGCCAGGGATGAAGCCAGAGTCCCTACCTGTAGTGGTCCCAGGCAGCATGCAGTAAGGGCAGCTGCTCTCTTTCCTTTTTCTCCTCAATCTGAGACTGCCAGAGGTTCCAGAACCTGTGCAGCAGCTGCAGCATGGTAGGAAGAAAATGGAAATTTACTGAGATGAAAGGTAAAACAGTGAATCCTTACTCCAACAGACTGTGAGCTCCCCCAAAGCAGGAATCACCTCAGTTAGGAGCAGCCAACATACATTGGGCATACAAATTAATGATGGCTGAACTATAGAGCTATTCTGGGCCAACATAAAAGGCAAAAAGATGGTTCTTCCAGTCTATGGAAATCTAGATGAAGAAGCTATTCCTAATCTCACAGAAGACAAGGACATTTCAGAAAGCCATTCTGGAAATTAAAACTGATTTTATTGCATATTCCTACCTATGAAGTAGTCTTGCATAAATGTTTAATTTCAATCTAAACAAGTCCTTAGATGTAACGATTATAGGAACCATGTAGACCACAGGAAAATTAAATGATATCAAAAGGAAACAATCAGATAAATCAAGAACATAAAACATTGGGCTGGGTGTGGTGGCTCACACCTGTGATCTCAGCACTTTGGGAGGCCAAGGTGGGCAGATCACCTGAGTTCTCAGGAGTTTGAGACCAGCCTGACCAACAAGGAGAAACCTTGTCTCTACTAAAAATACAAAATTAGCTGGGCGTGGTGGCACATGCCTGTAATCCCAGCTACTTGGGAGGCTGAGGCAGGAGAATCGCTTAAACCCGGGAGGTGGAGGTTGTGGTAAGC